GGGTGGACATCACCGATTACGGTGGTCGAACTATCACAGGAGAAGTTTACAAATCTGCAAATGCAAAATGTACAAATTATATGAATGCTGTCGAAGTAATTCGGTATTTATGTATAGTTCAAAAAACTTAAAGAGCGTTCATGAGCGGGGTGGAAAAAAAAATCATGGCAGCGCTGAGGAAAACGTAAATAAAAGCAGTTACTCAATTTCTACGAATCCCGTACATCTCTCACGAAACAAAGCACGTTTGTATGCACGAAAAATTGTTTACTTTACGGTGCATGCTGTAGGACGGCTGAGAAGCAATACTACCCACATTTGACACTTATTTAACATTCAGCTAGTAAATATATCTCCGTAGGTTACTGTTTTTCCACGTGAACGTCAAAACAAAGCTGAAAAAACTTCGACAGTTACTTTAATGTTTCTGAAAATAAGTTGTCCGTTTACGTCCTTTTCTGGCACAACACACAAGGCAAAAAGAAGGCTTTAGTTCTATCATACTAAACAGCATAGGAAATATCTCAGATATCTGGAAACTTATGATATCACCAAAATTATTTCCGTCCTTCCGAAAGATATTAAAGGAGCATGCACCTACCCTCTTTAAACTGCTTTCTGAGCAGCAACAACACTCAATAAATCAAAAAGAACAGGACCAAATAGATGCTTAGCTATTCACTCAAATTTTGACCATGACCTCTCCAGGATGACAATGTCCCGGTCGTCATCGTGCCAGCCGACAAGGGACTGTCTACAGTCATACTGGACAGAACCGACTATCTGCAGAAGGCAAACAACTTACTGGAGAACGGTCACTTTTATGATCTTTTTGAAACCAATCCCATCAAAAGGCTGACACGCGAAATCATTTCGACCCTGTTGGCACTAGAGAATTCAGGTGCAATAACGCCGTCTGACCGACGCATAGCAAAGGCAAAAGAAACAACCTTGGCCCGCTTCTACGGCCTCCCAAAGTGCACAAGGAGGGCGTTCCTCTCCGATCAGTCGTCACTGAAAGGCATTCCAACGTACGGACTGGCAAAGTGACTGGTTCGGCGTCTCAAATTTCTGACCGCTGATTCGGAGACCGCGGTCCGCTCATCAAAACAATTGTTGGAGAACCATAAAGGGGTAAGTATCCTGCCAAGTGATATCATGGTTTCCTACGATGTAACGTCCCTTTTTACTTCTACCCTCAGGATCTGGCAGTCGAGACCGTCCAACTAATTCTACGAAACAAATACGATGAGACGGAGAATCACCTTGGACATGCGTAAATGCTACAGCTCCTGAAGTTCTGTCTGAGGACGGAAAATTCTAAGAGCAGGTGAAGGGGACATCAATGGGTTCACCAATTTTGGACTCATAGCCAGCGCGGTCCTGCAAGTGCTGGAGTCGCTGGTCTTGCAAACACAGACCGAAATTCTGGACGGGGTATTTGAATGACACCTTCATTGTCATCGAACGGGATCAGGTGCTCACGTTCAAGAAACGTCTCAACAGCGTCTTCCCGGCCATCCAATTTATGATGGGAGGTAGAGAACAACCAGCTGGCCTTATTTGATGTCCTCGTCTGTCGCAAAGATTGTGGTGGCGAAAAGTATTCAGGAAAGCGACAAACACGGTGCAAGTACTGAATTACAACAGCAACCAACAAATCAGCCACAAACGCAGTTGCATAAGGACGCTCTATCAGTATGCTGAGACGCAATGCAGCTAACCAAAAAACAAAGTTTCCGACGTACGGTATCTTCGACTGGTGTTTCGAGAAAATGACTACCCGCGCAACTTCGTCGACCGGTGCCTGCGCAAACGAGATGGCCAACAAAGGTGCACCGACCCCAACATTTGGCGAGCGATCC